TCGGAGATCGACAGGCCTACATTAAACAGCCTAAAGCAGCACCATATGAAGGCGAATCTGGCGGACTGGCCAACAATGGATGAGAGGCAGAGTACACTTGCTCAGCTGCGAAACGGCAAGTGTGCCGGGGCCGAAGTGATCCCGCCTGAAGTATTGAAACATGGCGGACTGGCGATGTTGGCTAATCTGAACCACTTGGTGCAACGCGCATGGATTGAGGAGTAGAGGCCTCCTGAGCTGAGGGATGCACTTGTGCTATCAATGTACAAGGGTAAAGGTATCAAGCAATTTTACACGAATTATCGTGGCATCAACTTGCTGAGTTGCGTGGGCAAGTGATTGCCCGAATCCTACTCAACCGCCTCGTCAGTCAGGTTGTGGAACCTAACGTGGCGGAAGAGCAGTGCGGATTCCGCTCGGGTCGCAGCAATGTAGATATGGTGTTTGCAGCTTGTCAGTTGCAGGAGAAGTGTAGAGAACGACAGAAGCCATTGTACTCGCTATTTGTTAATTTCACCGATGCATTTGATACGGTGAACCACGAGGCATTGTGGTTGGTGTTGGGTAAGTTTGGTTGCCTGCGTAATTTTTTAAATGTAATTGAATGTATGCACAGTGGTGTGCAAGCGAGGGTGCAGCTAAGTGGAGAGACCTCGGATGATTTGCAGTTGTCTCTGGTGTGAGGCAAGGCTGTGTCTTAGCTCCTGCCCTGTTTAATATATATCTTCATGCAATGATATCCTGTGCTTTTGATGCCGCTTGTGCTTTCGAGGTTCGTGTGGATCACCGTATTGATGGTGGGTGATTGAATGTCCGTCGTTTCGGTGCGAGAACTGTAGTGTGTGAAACAACTATCCGTATATTGCTGTTTGCTGATGACCGTGCGTTGCTTTCACACAGGGCGGATGAGTTGCAGCATATGACTAGTGCTCTTGCTTCGACGGTGGCGAAATTCGGGCTCACCATCAACACACGCAAAACTGTCTGTCTATTTCGGCCTTCACCAGAGGTGCAATCTTCAACATTGCCGCGAATCAGCATTGGTGCTGAAGTATTAGAAATCACCTCCCGTTTTTGCTACCTTGGGAGTGTGATGTCGACTGATCAGCAGCTACACAGTGATCTGCGTATCCGCGTGTCGAAGGCAGCGGCGGCATTCGGGAAGCTTGAGTACCGAGTGTGGAACAACCATCAGCTTAGCATTGGCACGAAGCTGATGGTGTACAAATCCATGGTACTGTCCGTTCTTCTATACGGCAGTGAAACGTGGACGATGTGCCGTCGGGATGTGCGATATCTCGAGCGGTTCCATCAGCAGTGCTTGCGACGGATTTTACGTATCGGCTGGGGCGACAGTGTTGCAGACACAGAAGTGTTGCGCCAAAGTGGGATGAATGCAGTGGACTGCATACATTTGCTGAGATATCTGTGGTGGCACGGGCATGTGAGCCGCATGGACTCAACGCGGATACCGAAGCAGCTATTATATGGTAAGCTGAGTATAGGGAATCGTCACGTGTGGAAACCAAAGTTGCGTTACCAGGACATGAAAAAGGTGTGCCTCACACGTTCTGATATTGACTGCGGATCATGGGAATCGAAGGCGGTTGATCGGCATGCATGGCGCGATCTGATCACGAAGGCAGTTGCTGAGGTGCATGAGAAAGCCCTCATGCATGCGGACAAGAAGCGGTAAGTGCGGAAGCGGCAAGCACCAATGGGTTGTACTCCATCGACATCAAGCGCATGGTGCTGTAGCACATGCTGTCGCGAATGCCTGAGTCAGAAAGGCCTAGTGAGCCATTAGGCAGGCCACTCGGGACCGATAAATAAGCGACGACGGGTCCTGCATAGAACGTAGGCAGAACCGGCGCAGCATTTGTAGGTACACTGCATTTGATTTACTAACCTCGTGCTTGCATGCTAAGTCTCTTTATTTCAGGTGGTGTGTTTCCAATTTTGCCTTAATGCTTTTCTTTCTCATATGAATGTCTACCTGTACTTTATTCCATTAACTTGCGCACCTCGCTTAAGCCAGTTGTATCCGATTTCCATAAAGTGTTTGTGTTCGTGGCATTTCCGTAAAGTATACTTTCTGACCTCGTGAACTTATCTAGGATTCGTTTGTAAACAAGTTATTTCACATGCTCATTAACTTAAGGTTTATGTCACTGTTTCCTTTTGCATTAACCAAGTGATTGGCTATTGTTTGATACCCCGGTGTGGCTGCGCTTGATGTGCATGTTGAGAAGGTGCCTACCTGTCCATTACCCACTACCTCGTCCATACTGGCTCCAGGAGACAGTTGGTCGTTGCTAGAGGGGACGGGGTGCACGGTCCTTGTGGCCGTGTTAGGATCAAAGAGTGGTTCCATGCACAGTCCAGCCACGGCCTTGTGTGCGCTAGATTCCCCAAATACAGCGTGCTTGTGTTTGCCTGTGAAGGAGTGTGGGCCGGCTCCGTTGATGTAACGTGGCTCCCATCCACATGCCTCCCGGTCTTATTCCTTCGGGTTTACACTGGATATGGAGTATGTGTTTGGAGCTGTGGCTGGTGCAGCGCAAGCCACCCATGGTCCGTCTGTAGGCGCAGGCGTGCTGTGGTTGACCACAGTGACAGGCAAATCCGAAACCGGATGCTGCCAATCATATTTATCTTGGGCAGAATACATTGCAGGAAGAGGAAACATCGAATCTGTTCGCGTCATGCGAACAGGATATGTTTTGGTCACCCAAGATAGTAGGCAGAGCGATAACAACAAGGTATTGCGGCTTGTCGGGGATCTTTAGAGGTGAAAGTTGAGTCTCAAGGATTGGCAGAATTTTAGGTGAATGTCTATGAGCTTGACCGGGTTACTAGCTGGTCTTATTTTCTTTGTAGTTGAGACCGCTATTCAATGACTGAGGCCGCACCTTCTAGAACGACGTCGTCAGCATAATTACATCGGAGGATCCTGGACCATATGGGAAAGTCTTAGACGCACAATGGAAGTAGAAATAGGGTTAGAAACGCGTCCTGTAAAAGGACACCGTTGGTTTTAACTACAGAAGAACGTTTACAAGATAGCTGTGTGCAGCGTGTGTAAGTCGTGAAACATTCACGCATATGATTGTATACTCGTGGGGAACGATATGTTCGAATAGAAGACTGGTGAGCAACATTTTGTCGACGCCTTTTATGGCGTTGGTTATACCGAGGAAGAGAAGCCGTACGGTAGTGCATGTTCTATCTAATCAAGATGTAATGGAGTACACGGTCTACGAAACGGCATCCAGTGCAGACTATTGATGTCACATGGTGGTTGCCTGTAAAAATGCAGGAAATAAGCCGCTTTTAAAGAAAATTCATCGGCATGGACTTGCACTCAACTTGGCGAAGCTTCTGCGATTATTCTTTAGATCCCAATGTTCTTCTGAGGCTTTGCTAGATGTAGGACACGATACTAGACGCTAAACATCTGTAGAAAATTTCCGTCATTCATTCTGAACGATTGCTGATACAGCATGCTGGTCACTAGACCTGTTTAGCTTTAGGTTTACAAGTTAAAAACTATGATGATCAAAAAGTGTTACAGCTTTCTGATGATAAATGATGGTACGCAATATGCCAGCTTATAAATAGATGAACTGGTTTGAGTTTGTCAATGTTCGCAGTGCCTGGTGGTTGCACGAAGGCTCCCAGGAGAGTTGCTTCAACAGGCTCCACAGGTCTGGGTAATTGCTGTTGGCATAAACGGCACATGTGTACAGGCTTTTGAATATTCTCATCTCGGCTTCTGTAGCCACAAGCAGATGCACAACAAGAGCAGTTGGATTTAAGAACCAGTCATCAGGTAGCAGGGGGAGGAGGCAGAACAGAGTCATGCATGGCATTTTTGATCAGAAAGTGAAAGCGAATCGTTGAAATAGGACATCCGTGACGCACTCTGCTTTTCGTAACATACAAATGAAAGTCTTGCGAAGAAAATTATACTGTCACCAATTTGTGATACAGGGGATTTTGGGATTGAAGGAGACGCTTCCAGTGATTCTATGAGAGATGGAGCCCATCACATCTATGCGTGATCCACTAAATCACCGTAAGTATTCACGCAAGCCGAGAGTATTATGAGAGGCTGTTTGAAAGTGTGATTGGGTTGAAACACACCTCGAGCCGTGCATATACAGTCAATACTGATACAACCAGGGAAAAGCCGGCCTGTCATTCACAAATGCATTTTACGCGAAGTTTGAGGTTTGATTACCGCATGAGACAGTTCAGCAGGTTGGTGGCAAATTAAAGTATATCGACGCCACGATGCTTTTCGCAGAGCATCCATTGACAGTTTGTTAAGATGTGAGTCATGTTTGATAACCACGTGTTAGAGAGTAATCCCCTCTTGTGCCAAACAGAATAACACCATTGTCTGTCACCACAATTCCAAACATACGTACATACCTACTGGATTGTGGCAACAAACACGCAGATGACATCATGTTAAACATACGACCTCTTTCCTGACCAAATAAAGCACTCTCCTTTTCTATCAATTGACCGTCTGCGAGTGTGACATTTACCGGAGGGAAACCCTGAACGGAATGACAGATAAATTGATTCTAATCCTTGCATTCAGTTTTCTACGATCGAAACATTATACGTTCTCGGGTTATTTATGATAACATATAAAAACCGCTTTCAAACGGCATCAAAATCTGGCCGAAGCCAACGGTCATGGAATAACGAACTGGAAACAAAATCCGACAAACGATTAGTGTCAAATCTGTTCATGCACAAGTTGCTGAACGCATAGAGCTGAAGGGTAACCAGACATCGAAAAACTACAAAATCTGCTAAAAGATTACTGCACAGGCAAATAAGTTTGAAGCCATACCACAGGGAAGCTGACGTCTGAGACACAAGATTATTTGGCTTATCAAAACACTGTCGATAACACTGTTTACGGAACAACCCAGTTTAAAAGTTAAGCTCACTGCAAGACATAATCGAAAGAGATTATTTACCTTTAATAAAACATTAGATGAGAATCCTCGGTCCGGTAAATAGGAAGGAATGCGTAGCTGTTGACAGAGCTCTGCCACAGCGCGCCTTTTGTGTTCAATCTCGTGCTCTATCTCGAGTCGAATAGTGTTCTCGTTTCGAATCACCTCCTCAAGAAGCGAACGAAGCTGTTGAATGGTTGCCTGTAAACGATCATTGCGCTCAGCTTCATCGTAACCTGTAGGAAAAAGGGTGGAAATTAGGACCTGCGATAAGTCATTTAAATATCCGTTTGATGCGTAGTCTTGAAAACAGTTAAGGGACCAGGGTTCGATTCCCCGTCGAGGCACATTATTTGTGCGTGAATTTTATTCGTGACTTCTACTTTCCACAAATTGTGCACTACTCACGAACATCCAAAATTAATTTACCATCGCCCTTTGGACATCCGAAGGACAGGTACTTCGGTCCATTGGGAAGTGACGGGTGAGTGAGCCAATTTGCAACACCAGGACAGGTACTGTGAGCTCATTGGCAATACGTCGCGCACCAAGCAGAAGTCATGTATTAAAATTTGCGCACTTAATCGTCAGCCCTCGGTAGCTCAGTGGTAGAGCAGCGGACCGAAAATTCGCGGACCGGGGTTGGATTCCCCGTCGAGGCACATTATTGTGCGTGAATTTTAATCGTGACTTCTACCTTCTACAAACTGTACACTACTCACAAACATCCAAAATTAGTTTAGGAAATGTTGTGCGCTGAGATTAGATCCTAGTTGAACTAACAAACAGAGACCCGAACACAGTATTGAAATGCCTATCACTGGCACCGCAAAGATGCTGAGTGATAAGAAAGAAGAAAAGGCACTGAAGAGGAAAATAAAACTAAGTCTCAAGCAAACAACCAACACCGAGAGATTCTACGTAATAAGTCAAAATGCAGATAGCTCAGGCTAGCAGTGCAAGTTTTGATTGGTTCTCCGAGCTGAGCAATTTGCTTGTAGACGTTTCGTCACCAGTCGTAGGCTGATCCAGATCCGTCTCTGAATTTGTTTGGATTTAAGTACTTGCTAATAAGCTGCCAGCTGTTACGCACTGAAGATGCCGCCCCGGTTGGTGGCGAAACGGTTGCAACTAAAGTGCTAAACTCAGCGAACCAATTAAGACCTTAGTAAGGGCCTTATTCTGAGTCGAATTCAAAAGCCAAATGTAAATGCTAAGGACTGCGTTCAAGAGCAACAATGTCTCCCAAGCTACATAATAGCGAAAAAATGGCCGACCTGATGGCTTCAGAAACCTTAGCTAAGCGTCGACTCATGTTTATGTATTGGCAGTAGCATCAGGTCCATTTGAGATCAACACTTGACAGATAGTCCGATTGCCGCCTTTTCGCAGGGAGGCAACACGACGAGAAACTGACGTAAGTTGTTCTCTTAATGAATTTTAACTCCGGACTACTATTGCCCTTTACTAGTCATGTTATACTGTGAGGTGTCGGACATCCGTAGCCGACGGCGTTGCACGTGAAGTAGACGCTTTGCTCATTTTTGACGCTATCGACTGGAAGTTGCTCAACTGTAGTATGGGTATTTAATTGGAACACAGTGCGCTCAATTACGAACTTTCCGTTTTTCTTTCGAAATGTCTTACTTGGAGAGCAAAGTTTGTTGTAAAGAGCCAGAATTTCAACCTTGAATCCGACCGCAGAATCCGAAGGGATTAATCATAACAAGCTTAGCGCATATGCAGTACCGAGTCATCGGTACCCGAATAGAACAGCAGCCTACTTTAAATGATTTATGGATTCAGTTAAAGCGCTGACGGCAGAGTCCACAAATGCCAGCCGTGAACAATATTACCAACACAACAATGGAATTCTAAGCATCAATTCTGCATCAGCACAACCCTTATCCAATGAAAATCGGTAAAGCATCCTTGGGCCCTGAAGGGGTAGTTAAAGTTTTGATTCGTTCTTTGATCTGAGTAATTTAAGGGCAAGCGTTTCACCACGTCGCTCAGTGGCATCTTCAGTACACTGCTGCCTAGAGGAAAATCTCACGGAAACTGTCGTCCGGACTTAGCGTTTGAAGTTAGCCTCGTCGATCTGTATCCCGTGACCTCTGTTTGTTCGATTTTCGGCCGTCCAGTTTCACGCTTTCTCAGCTGTAGGTAAACAGGATCGAGGTCAGTTTGAAGGTTCACTGAATCCTCCGTAGAGAAGCATGCTTCGAGGAATTCTATTTCTTTTCTTGTCTCTCCGTGCGTCAGAATTTCTGTGTTGTCCCAGTTAACGTTGTGTCTTCTCATCGAGATGCGCTGAGATCTGTGACGATGCATAATGTTATCGACATGACCGCTTGTGCTCTTTTATTCTTGTGGATAGTTTTCTCCCCGTTTGACCTACATAGTCTTTGTCACAGTTCTCGCACTGTACCATGTAGACAACATTTTGGCGTTCGTGTATCTCCAGTTTTTCTTTAGGCCTAGATACGATTTTTTTCAAAGTCGCAGTTGGTGTGTGAGCTATCGTCAGGTTGTGCGGTTTGAGGAGTCTGGCTGTCTTTTCCGATACGTTTTTGATGTACGGCAAGACGATGTGTTTCGCCGTTGTTGGTGCAGGTGCGGTAGTTGTGCTCCTTCGCTTTAGGTGTCTTCGGATGAAACTGCGTGGGTAGCCGTTGCGAATGAAAGACATAAACAGATGTTCCTCTTCCTTTCGTTTCGTCTCCGCAATATTGCAATGCGATTCTATCCTACGAAACAGGTATTGCTTATTTTTGACACTTAGGGAGATTGTTGTAAAAGTTCAGGATTTGGTCGGCATGTGTCGCTTTCTGTAAACGGATGTTTGTAATTCGCCTTCCACTGCTCTGGTAACCAGCACGTCCAAAAAGGGTCGTTGGTTTTCCACATCTAGTTTCATTGTGAAACTAATACCTTTCATTGCATTGTTAACTAGGTCTGGCGCAGTCTGTAGCTGACTGCGTTTGAGAAGCACAAACTTTTAGTCAACGTATCGCACCCAAAATTTCGGACTAATGACTGGGAGCAGATCATCTACCAACCTCTGCATGATGATCTCCGCAATAAGTCTAATTATGGGGATCCCATTGGAGCTCGTCTAACTTGCTCGTAAAACACTCCGTTGAATTTGAAGTAAGTAGTAAAACACAAGTCGAGGAGCTTGCATATGCTTCTAGTTGTCAGATTCCCAGTCGTTTGCCCTCCATTGTTCAGACGTTCTATGATGTTTTCTTTCGCTGCCTGTAAGTTGATGGAGGTGAAAAGTGCGGTGACGTCAAAGGATACCATCACTTCTTCATGGTCTATCCGCATGCATTTGAGCTTTCCCAAAAACTGGAGAGCGTTATTGATCAAGTATTGCGATCCGCTGGTCAGATGCTTGAGGCCTTTCCATAATTCTTTAGCCAAGTTGTAAGTTGGTGTACCTGGGAGTGATACTATTGCTCGTAGCGGCGCACTCAAATTTTGTAATTTCGGAAGACCGTAAAACTGTGCGGTGTTTGGATCACGAGCCTTCATTCTATCATACTCTCCCTTTGTGAGTTGATTTAAATCTTGAAGTATTAAGTTTCTTATTCATTTTTTGTCAACCGTACTTTGGATCGTTCTCCATGCGTCGATAGGTTGTTGTGTCGGCTAGGAGCTGACTTGCCTTTACCATATAATCAGTTTTGTCCATTATAACAGTCGTACGTCCCTTGTCCGCAGGCAGGATTACGATGGTTTCTTCGGCCTTCAAGGATTTTAGGGTACTCTTCTCTTGTTGTGAAACAGAGGCATGGTTCTCTACGGAGAATTTAGTGAACCCCATTGACCTCGATCCTGTTTACCTACAGCTGAGAAAGCGTAAAACTGGGCGGCCGAAAATCGAACAAACAGTGGTCACGGGACCCAGATCGACGAAGCTAACTTCAAACGCTACGTCCGGACGACAGTTTCCGTGAGATTTTCCTCTAGGCAGCAGTGCACCGAAGATGCCACTGAGCGACGTGGTGAAACGTTTGCCATTAAATTACTCAGCTCGGAGAACGTATCAAAACGTTAAAATATATCGTTGGTGCCGTTTTATTCCAAAAATTGGTGACTACACGTCTCATAGAAGTATCCCTAATCGATCTAGGTAGAGCCACGGGTCCAAAACCTAATCTACCGCACTTGAACATACCTTCCTGGTTTGAAAGAGTATTTACAGCGCTGGGCGCCACAGCTATCAACTGTTTTGACGATTGTTGACACAACTATTGTAAGCGAAAAGTGGTGCACACCGTCTGTCATTTATTCGGGTGCAAAACACGATAAATAGAACTTTTCAAGGTAACCGGTAAGTTTAATAGCAGCGGCTTACCCACGTAGTCCCAAATACCGACCAGCTCGGTTATTGTTGGGCGAATGGAGTCCAATATCTCACACTCTATTTGGGTGGCGTCAACCATTTGTACAAGAATGAAAGCCGCTGAAAACATACACAAATGGATTTGGTAAAAACAAATCAATAGGACAAACAAGTGTTGGAGGGAAATCGAATCGCCGCATAAGCGAGACGAAGGAGTGGCGGGGTAGCAACATAAGTGGAAGCAAAATATGGTTGGTGAGAGAGTGACTAAAATTGCCTCCACGCAATTCCATCACCAGCACGACTGTCAAGAACGCCGCGGATTTTTGAGCATTGCTTCTGGATTCTACTTCCGCTTCTGGATTACTGTGTTATTTGTGTTTCATCTGTGTAAATTGTGTACCAAAAAGTTTCTTTTTGGTGTAGTCTTCAAGTTGTGAAAATTTGGTGAGCATTCTCTCACTTGTTTCGGAGAACTTGTTGATAAATCAAATTACCGTCTGTGTCCGCCATCTTGGATTTGCTCCAACGTGTGATGCCGTGCCAATCTACTTGTGGCTCATGTTCGAAAGTTGTAGGACAAAAGGCCCATGCACTTCGTTGTTTCGGCTGTGATGTTCTGTTTCATATTTCGTGTATCGGCCTATCCGTGGAAGTTTTCCGAAAATCTGTTGACATCCGACATAGATTTTTCCAAGTTGTGTGTGATAAATGCCGCGGTTTACTACAACAAAATACACGGAGACCATCACTACCGGCTCCGGGAAAAGCCATCTCCCAGACGAAACCACTTCATTCAGCTCGTGGGGTCAAACGCGCTCGTGAGAGTACCTCTGTGAACTCCCCTTCCCCTGCAACTCCACGATCTGCACCACCGCCAGCGTCTTCTACCCCTACCGATTCTCACAACCAATGTTCCCCACAGATTGACGACTCAGAGTCGGAGCCCCCTAATCTTTCAGCGCATACCTGTGAACCTCTGAACACTGAAGATAAATGGATCATTCAAAAACGCAAAAGTTCACGCAACAACTTTCAACCTCTCCCTAACGACAGACGACCGTCCAAAACCACAAGCCCCTCCACTCCTGCTGCCTCAAGTTCGTCACCGATCTCCCTGAGGCGTTATAATCTCATGGTGTTCCATGCACCAGAGTCAAAAGATGAAAACCCTCAGAAACGTTATGATCACGATGTTGAGTTCCTTCAGGGGCTCGTTGATAAACTGTTGGATGTGGGTGAAGGCAGCGTAACGATAAAACAAGTAGTCCGACTTGGTCAGCATACTAACCAATCATGTCGACCTTTAAGAATCACCTTTGCTGACCACAGCACGCCACAACTCATTCTGTCTCGTCTCTCCAGGCTTAAAGGCACCAGGGTTCACATCCGCCGAGACTTGGAACCCGAAGAGAGGAACCGCTTGAAGACTGCGATCCTTGAGCTTAAACGCCGTACAGAAGAAGGCGAAACTGATCTGCACATCGTAAATTTTCGAGTGATCAAGAAGGGTGCACGAACCCGTATCAGTCGGTTGATCAACCTCAAGGCACGTCCCGCGGTGCCTCTCAGGACCTCCGTGTTGCATTCACAAACATCTGTAGCCTTATGAACAAACGGGATGAGCTGTGTCGCTTCGTTGCCTCTGAGCGACCAGACGTCGTAGGACTGGCGGAGACATGGCTAACTTCTGAGGTAATGGCAGAGGAAGTCGATCTCAGTGGCTACTCATGCTTTCGCTGCGATAGAATATCAAATCCTCGTGGTGGTGTCTTACTTTATATACGGTCTTCCCTGCGTGGGAGGCTTGTAAGCGTGTACCGAAGTGAAGATGGACTGTGTGAACAGGTATGGTGCTCGATCAACCTCAGGCTCGGCAAGCTGACAGTAGGTGCATTCTACCGTAGCCCTCTGAACCGCTCTTTAGATTGGCTACCGCATCTTCGGAACAACATGAGTCGTCCATGTTTTCTACTCATGGGTGACTTCAATTGTCCCCACATTCAATGGCCTGAAATCCAACTCATGCCCGGGTATTCTGAAGTCGAATCAAAGTTTGTTGATTTGTTGCTTGAAACTGGGGCATCGCAACACATATACCACACTACGCTCATGACGGCGCGTTCGAACCCATCGTGCCTTGATTTGATGGTGACAAATTGCGAACAGCGGTTGCATGACATACGAATCCAGGAGCCCCTAGCTAAAAGCGAACATTCCGTGCTGATAGCCACTATGGAACTGAACTTGCCGAGTGTATCTCCGGTGGAACCAGCTTACAACTACTGGAAAACTGATTTCGATGGATTAAATCGAGCAGCGAGCCAAATGGATTGGTCTCTACCGCATGTTACATCTGTGGAGGACGGTTGGACAGTAATAAAGGAGGGATTGGCTTTGCTTTGTTCTCAGTTTGTGACGTTGAAATTTCAGAAAGTCGGACCAATCAAACCACACTGGTTCGACAAGGAATATGGTAGGCTGGCTCGGTTACGGCGAAGAATGTGGGACGCATTTCGCCTCTCTGGCTCCGCCACTGATTACGAAGCAAATAAAAGACAGCGAAATATTTGCAACAAAGTGAAATTGATAAAGCGCCGGAAGTTCGAAGAAAAGCTTGCAACTGACGCGAGGATGGCCCCAAAGAAGATCTTTGCTTACGTGAAACGCCGTTTGAAGCCAAAAGGTGACGTGTCATGTCTGGAAGACGCGGACGGACACCTGCTAACTTCCAGTTCCGATCGCGCGTACGCACTGGCCGCTCACTTCGCTTCCGTGTTTGCAAACGAAGCGGCGTCCATACCCATCTCAGCGAATAACATTCCTGTAGAACTCAACAGTTTGGTTTGTGATGTCGACGAGGTGCGCCTGCTACTTGCGAACCATGACGGTACCAAGCCTGCAGGGCCTGACGGGCTTCATCCGCTAATTATCAAATCACTAGCTGCCATTATCTCGCCTGTGGTTACGGATCTATTCAACAAATCATTGTCTGAGGGCTCATTGCCAAACGACTGGAAGCGCTCGGTGGTGAGGCCGATCCCGAAAGGTGGCGACCCCAGTAAGGTGGATAACTACAGGCCAATTTGTCTTACACCCGTTTTGGCCAAAGTGATCGAGAAGATAGTAAAAAAGCGTCTAATACATCTGTTACAATCGAAAGAACTTCTGACACCGGCACAACACGGATTCAGGATGGGATATTCTTGTGTTACAAACTTACTTGTGACGAGACAGGAATGGTTGCAAGCACTGAACCGGGGAAAGTCCGTCGACGTAATCTACATCGACTTCAGCAAAGCATTCGACAAAGTCAATCATGAATTGCTTCTAGACAGATTAAGGTCGTGTGGTGTCGGAGGATCGTTACATCGATGGATCCATGAATTTCTCGTTGGAAGAAAGTGGAGGGTACAGGTGGACGGCCATCTAACCGATTGGTATCCCTCGACCAGTGGTGTACCTCAAGGTACGGTACTGGGACCCACTCTGTTTCTCATCCACATCAACGAGCTGCCCCAGCTTCTACGGTCGCCGTGTGCACTGTTTGCGGATGACCTCAAAATTTGGCGAGAAATTAATACTCTCGATGACTGTGACATTCTCCAACAAGACCTCGACCGCCTCGCAGTATGGTCTGCTGAAGTCCACCTACCGGTCAACCCGGTCAAGTCCCTATTCATGAGTCTCGGGAAGGCTGTTCACGGACGAACGTACACCCTAGACGGCCAACCACTGCATCCCACACCTTCCGTGAAAGACCTAGGTGTACTCTCACGCTGCGACTTGAAGTCCGTCGACAACACCAACAAACTGTATCGAAACGGACTGCGCATGCTCTGGGCGCTGAAACGCAGCTTCTGCACTTGGTCTGAGGACGTCGCCACTCGCCTCTTCTCTTCCATCGTCAGACCAATGGTAGAGTACGGCTCGCCTGCATATTGTCCGATCACTCGCGGCGAAGCGCAAAAGATCGAACGAGTACAACACATCGCCACCAAGTTGATCCCCAGCTTGAGAGGCTTATCGTATGAAAACCGGTGCATGAAACTTGGGCTCTACACCTTGTCATATCGCCGTGTTCGAGTGGATCTTATCATGACCTACCGTATTTTACATCTCGGTCATTTCCCCATGCTAAGGTCGTTACTCCACTTGCGAGTACCATGCACCACACGTGGGCACAGGTACAAACTCGTGGTACCTGATCTGAAGAAAATCCCACACCCCCTGTGTTTCGAGCGGAGGGTTGTGCACGCCTGGAACAGTCTGCCAGAACACGTCGTCGAGGCCGAATCTGTGCAGAAATTCAAATCTTTGTTGGATGTACACTTCGCTAACATACGTTTCAGAGAACGGTTGCCACTTGACAACGATATCACCCACTTGTGACTCACTGTGTAAACAAGCATTTTGTGTGCTACAGAAGGAGTTGCTGAACCATCTCAGGATAACCACCGGACGTGTTTATTTATTTAAAAAATTTATTTAAAAGAAGTTTTGGAACATACGTTACAACGGAAGCGCAATCATTTTACAAGGCTTGTTAGGTTTTAGTATTCCGTAGGTTGTACCTAGAACTTAACTGGGCTGAGCCTTCATGGCCTTCATGGCGCATAATACATGTACAAAAGCAGCTCTAAAAAGAACAGAACATATGATAAACAGGTGATGGCTCATATGCTCCTATGCCACGCCGGCACACGGCCAGTTATTGCATGGAAGTGCGAGCGAAAACTTTCGAGGGAATACCTTGCACGGAAGCAAGTCCCCTGGGGATGGTTCCAAGAGTGGCCGTATTACTTTAACTGGACATTTGTTTAAATCTGTTTACATTATTGTTTCTGGTTTTTAATTTCTTTAATGCCTTAATCCTGACAATTAGTTTAGTACCTGTTTTGGATCCACTGTAAACAGCGTGAACAAATTGATTATTTTTTTGCGATCCTGTTGTACACATTGATCAGACCACATAGTTGGACTGCACCTCGAATCACCGAGGAATATACCATTTATTTATTTATTTATTTATTTAACCTTTGGAGGTACCGTGTAGGAGAAAGAAAATAACAGCTAAGCGACCCCATAGGGCTTCATAGAGAAAGTCTGATTTAGCCACCACCGATAGTGTAGGGTTAGGGAAGGTGAGTTACAAGGAGCAGCATAAAAGGGAATATCAACGAACAGTCGATACGATCAATGCGAATCGCACCTGATATACTCGGTCTACCTATCACCTAGGTTTATGAATTAAACCGTAGGATCAACCTTCCACTCTTATCCTATACTGTAGCTCTACCATTAACATCAATTAAGCCAGATATCTTAGTAATCCGGTTGCATCGAAGATCAGAATAATTGTAGAAGCTGATCAATGCTGTCAGCAAGAATGATGTCCAACACAAGTCCTGTACCCCATTCTCAAATACAGGATAGTGTATAGTGGTAGTAGACGATATGAAATTTGTTATTAGGTATTTTAGCCATCCAGCTTATAAATCGGTTCAGACATTCACCTCAGATAATGCATATGCAGCCTCCTGGAATCGCTAACCGCTAGCGGTATGTACGTTATTGTTGATGAGAGGAAGGTTTGTGGGAATATTTTTTCATTGCATGGTAGATATTATGTCAAAATGGCTTTCGTTTTATATGGTTATGGAAAAATGTCGTCCTCCGAAAATGAATATTCGTTGTATATGCTGTCAGTTTTAGACTGGCAAAGGAACAACTCCAGACAGCTGTTGCACGGTACCGTGATGTAAGCAGTCAGCATTAGACAATTATTTTGAGTGGCACAACCCGAGCAGCAACGTGCCAATTTGATTACACCCTAATCTGATCAGTGCCAATTCAAGAGAGGTTAACTTGTTAAAATTGAAGGCTGAGGCCGATTCCATTCTGTAGCTGTGATTGCACAGGAACAGAGTTATTCGACTCCTCTTTAGACCCAAATGTGAAAAGCGACAGTTTCTGTGCTGTTTTCCCGACCATATATCCACCGATCGACTCTCTCTATTACGGCAAGATCGCCCAGTAACCCTGGGACACAGGAGTACTGTATGGCCTCATTGTATCATTTGCACCAGCGCTGCACGCGATGGTGGATAAAGATAGATCCTAATGCATTAGAAAAGTGTAATTATAAAACTGTTCTCTAAGAGAAAAGCCAAGTAAAAGTATTCTAAAATTTGGCAAGATTGAAATGAAGTTGGTGAGAGTAGGGTTCAGTTCTGGCTGAAAAGCGGGTGTGCTTCAACTGATGCTCTAAGCCGTGCAAATTCCTTGAAAGCCTACCGTGTGGAAAGTAAGTGCATATCTAATGAAGTTCCTTTGACACAGTTGGTCACAGCGAGATTTGGATACACAGCTATCAGACATCTGGATCCTGGTTCAAAGCCGGACTCGCCTATTGGGATTTCTCGGGGTGCTTATCCCCTTGGCAGCATAAATAAACGTTGTACACCAAGACTGTGCGAGGCACAGTTCGACTGAATGGTATGATTAACGTATAGGAGCATCGAACTCATGACTAACCTCCTAGGAAATAACACATGGCACTACTTCAACATGCGAGTATGGTGGGTTCGGAAATAAGCACTATAGCTGGCCTTGCAACAAAGTGGAACCAATTTCTATATGTCGGAATATTTCCAAAGTATTTAAGGTGGATCATCCGAGTCACATTGTATCACAGATAGTGCTCAGTCATAGCGATCCGTTTCCGTCACCTATGGCTCATTGTTACGCACTACTAAAGCGTAATACGTGAGTCGTGGTTTCAGATTCCTTGAGTGTTTGTTTCAATGTACAAAGTATCTTCTCCATGTGCTTCACAACTAACCACACATTTTGGCTAGCTCATACCTAAAGGATTACCATTAAGAAAGGATCCTCGAAAAAGATACATGAGGTAACTTTTTGATAGATTGTGAGATCAATAATCAGTCATCTGACTTGGAGTCCTTGCCGAGTGTACGAAAAACGGTACACAAATTCGAATTACATCACTAATCATTTTAAAGAAACCACGTTCAGTCTGTTCACAGAGGTAGCAGCTGAAGCAAATATTTGAAACTAAATCGACAGAGTTTTTAAATGTTTTCCTGGGCGCTACCCAAAGCGCTTCAGGCTGTAGCGGTAACGGCATTAGCCAGTGACCTCTGCGTCATTCGGTTGATTACTACTTTGATGCTCGCTTTCTGAGGATTGGCAAACGAACACGAAACAGGTCAACTAGTCAAAAAGCAGCAACTTAAAACCCCAACCCATCCACACAGATTTCGAATCTGCTTCTGCATCATCCTTATGCGTAGGGGATTTTGATCTAAATAGTTTGGGGTTCATTCGCACTAGATCCCGAATCGGGTAATCCTTCACAAGACCGGAAAAGCATTAGGTGGCCGTCTCGACCCGTTGCGTTTCGTCAGTAATGCGTGCCTGTCAGGTCAATCAGAATTCGAACCCTGTTCTTTGCAATGTCCGTAAGTTGCATAACATCGACGGATGATACGCGTTTTAACGCAGCTAGCCTATAATTCATGACGGTCCGGCGTCGTCCTCCATGGATCAGTAGTATAAACTTCTAGCCAACAGTTCAAGCCACTGGTGGTCCTGGATTCAACTTCTGTTGGATCGGGAGGATGCAAAAAGCTGACGAAAATCAAAAGGTTGAAACTGCAGTCTGTGGCTTTTCTAACCATGTGAAGAACTATCTGATTTTATAAACTGCGAAGGAACCCCCAAGTACCCTACATTATTATTTACTTCGTCTTCGAGTAAAACGGTGGTTTATCTAATGACGTAAAAGGGTAACTCAAAATCTTCTCGGTCCGACTAAGAAGTAAAAACTGAATAAAAAGAAAAATTATTTGATAAAAGTATCCTGTCCTGAAATTATTAGCATCCAGTCACAATTTCCCATCGTACTTGAGTTGCGGGTGATGATCCACTGAACTAACCTTGGTTGCCCGATTGCTGCACATGGTCAAACTTGAAATTCGAGCTGTGAGCAAGTACCTGCAGAAAAAGGTATTACGTCAACTCAGAAACCCATACTTAGGGTGAACTCCCCTTCTTATTCCACTGTTAAGGAGTGGGTTGCGAATAGAAAGACGGACAGGGAGAGCACGGAAGATGAGCCACAGTCTGGCCGCCTGAAACCTCCTACTTGTGATGATTAAGTGGAAGCACTTCACCGAATGCTATCGTCTGATAGAAGCTTGTCTATTTCTCAAATAGCGATGACTATGTGCATCGGTTATGGTTCACTGTTTTAACGTATAGTTTGGGAATGAGAAAGCTGACTGCAAGATGGGTGCCAAGCAAGTTGACACCCGATCAGAAAGTGTAGAGGCTGGAAAAACAAGGCAACTACTGACTCGTTTCAAGGCAAATCCCGCAAAAGATTTGTGATGCAAGGTGAAATTTGGGTTCATCGCTTTGAAACAGAGTCAAAGATTAGAAGTATACAGCGGATGGTTCCGCGCGAAAGTTGATAGCCTCGGTCTTCTGGGACAGTGAAGGTGTAATTATGATAGACTTCTTGATGAGGGATCATACGATCACTGTCGAGTATTACACTTCAGAAGTCCGCCAACGGAAACGAGCAGTCAAAGAAAAATGCAGGGGGAGCTCGCAGCAAGAACTCTTCTTTCACATGACAACGCACTTCTCAAGTTTCCGTGTCTGAAGCAATGAGGGGTGGCTTTGGATTGCTGCCACAACTCGCTTATTCACCAGATCTGGCCCCATCCGACTTTTATCTATTCCCTAAATTAAAATCTCACCCCGAGTCACAGATTTTCCGACGGTGAGGAGTTGATGCGTGCTGTGGAACTGTCTTCCGCGGGACAGCATTCGACCTTCTTCCACAAAGGGATAGTAATGCTTTAACGGCCCGGGACTAATTGCATTCAACTTACAGGAGATTATGTTATGTATTAAGGAAGTGTAAATTGGATAGCTGGCTTCTTGCTATGTAGGGCTCAGACCGTCTTGATTCACCTTTGTACGAGTGTAGCTGGGAACCAGCTGACACATTTGTGTGGAAATTTAAATCCTGAACATGTGAGTGTTAAATACGGTAGGGCGTTTCCAACAGCAATAATGCCCTTTTTGTTATAGAACCTCTAATCTCGTTACGCCAACCTAGCGCTAAACGCAACCAATCAGCGACAGATATTCCATCGGATCGATCAGTGTTTAATGTCGTGGACAACTCCACGCGCAAGTTGGCCAAATCCCTGCTGAGCGCATATGAACATGTGCAGTAGAAAGGCGGAATTAGAAGGCCCCACCCTTATGACGGCAAAGGCGATAATCGATCGAAAGGCCAGTAACCAAAACACAAACGAACGCAGTAATGTTACTAAAATAAACGCTCATACGTCAGACGTACACCTATGTCGATGAACTGGGTAGGCGATTAAATAGGTTTGCCGTAGAGATTAACTAGGTTTGATACCTTTCGTGGCCTCAGAACGAAGATGAAATCGCGTTCTCATGCACGACCATGCTACCGATTTGTTTCTTCTTAGAAAAACCAATTTGGTCACTGGGAAATAATCCGGATTTTCTGCTTGTACGGTAAAGTATCGGTGAAGTTTAATGGCCAGTCGCATGCTAATTAACTACCCCGAACTAAAATATCGGTCATAGGTAAAAAAAATAGAGCAGCTTCAGTTTAGCAAGAAGAGCACTCTGCACAGGCTCATGATGGGTTGATTGCTGATGTGGACCATTCAATACGAAGATGCACGGATTTAAAGTTGCGGCTTATACGTTATAACCTTGTAGGAGTAAAAAACGTTTGCTCTTGATTAAAGACGAGATAAGCCATCATGTTAAAGCCAGGCAGTTGCTGATCAGATAAGCCATAAATCTTCGGTGCTAACAGACTCAAAATGCAATATCGATTACCCAGCAGAGTCTGTGGACAGATTGGGAGGGAGGTTAATAAGAGAAATAAAAGGATTTGGCGATTTATTGTAATGCGCTTCGCTGGCCTTACGCTTGGATTATCGTCGGTGATATCATAAATACTTCATAACTTGGCGTCTTCAATCTCATTGGATAAGACAACCAATAAGATTTTATACCCCGTGGCGGAGCTGTACGCTTTTGGGCGCGTCCCCAGGTTGTGGATTGGGGAATGCCCTCCTTGTGGAGGTAACTGCGAATAAGTCTAGTTTACCTTGCGGGCGAAATGAATAAGCAGTCGCGGATAATCAGAAGCAGCTTCTTAGAGCGTGGGGAGTTCTGGGCTGATCACCTGGTTCTCCATCAAATACCACAAGAGATCGTACGACGCTGTGTCAAAGCCAATTTGACCGGCTATAGGGTCACTGACCACTCACTTCTGTAACCGGGAGTGAGTATATAACGGAGAGCGGATAAAAAAACCTTTCTGGCCATCGGCTACTCTGTGGACTGCTAATGAACACAAAGTAGGAGAAGTAGCCACCCGGATATCAACGGTCTTCATTAATCGCCCACTGCCTTGCGGGTTAGGTCGTAAGACCAAAGGCTCAGGGTGGGGTCCCTTAAGATAACCCTCTTCCTCGGCCTGGACAACCGGGAAGATCGCTGCTCATACAACACAACCTTCTAAAGCTTCCAAACCCTTTCACTGACTACCTGCTTTTCCCCCCTTTTTTGTTGTTGTTAACTGTGTTGTGGCACAACCATTTTACCTTGGTCAAGTGTTGAATAATAAAAATATTAATGATGAGTTTATACGTGGAATAAATTCCAAATGGATTCTTCTCGAATGATCACAGTCACACAGCCGCCAAAAAGCACAATACGTTGAAGTTGGGATATGTGGTGGCTGTAGGATGTAGTCCAAATATTTCACTGCTTACTTTTGAGAACATTTCAGTCTGCCTACTTTCCATCTAGTTTTAAGCTGTCTTTGGACTATACACAACTCACCGGGTTGACAGGATGGCTCTTCCTGAATTCTTTATGCACTAACTCCGCTCGGAAGATGTTAAACTCTAGGATATAGATGTTGCTCATATTGCACCAAACACAAGGTGAGAAACTGATGTTCGTTTATTGCCTGATAGACTTTACATAATCACAATAAGATTTCGTCTGCTGTACTAGTTACGGCGTTTTGCACGGAACATTAGCTGTGACCAATTATCGGACGAGCACCAACATCATAACTTCTTGACAAGAGAGTCATTTTTACGACCAGAGCCGGGGTGTGTAGACATGTGAATTGTATGACACTACCTCCGAAAGGTTGTTTAAGCTTATAGCATTATGGTACGGATTGTTTTATCATCCACATCTGAAAATGGACTAAGATGGTAGCTCCGTTCTTTTGAATATGATGTTTCAGAGTGCTGATTGAACAGTATATAAAAGTACAACGTTATCCTGACCTCATTCCAAGCCGTCTGCACCGAAAGTTGATATCAGACATGAGATATTTCCCAGAACCAAACAACCATGATGAACAATTGCAAAAATGTGCATTTCAAGATTTACAGACTTTATAGCTTATTTTTCTGCAGTGTTGACACACAGTTCAAACATAGGTGGCACACCGATCATCCGTATGATAAGCATTGCTGATACAAAATGTTCAGGCGACATATTCAGAAAAAAAGATTTGAGGGACGCATTCAGTTCTACTTAGTCCGTTCAACTTAGTCATCTAACCTAGAGCTGTTCCTTTGGTTACATCATTAGTTTGAGTTACGTAATCATACTTAATGTATATTTTTCTATTATCGACCAGTCTGTGAAGGTAAGTTGTTTAATAGAGTTCCGTTAATTTTAGTGTCGTTGAGCCGTGCACTAAACTGCAGTGGACACACGTAGGCAAAGTATTAATAATAAATATCCTATTAATAGTAATAAATCAAGCGGAAAGAACAAGAAGCTTAATAGGCAAGAGTAGCGGTTAAGAGTCAAAACTCAGGCAATGAATACAATGACGTTAATGCATTGACTATTACTTTATAAGCGATGAGGTAGCCAACCAATGGTATATATATGGGCAATAGTATATGCAATAAACCAGTCCTTCTCAACTTTAATTCAGCCGTGACCCCCTTTTGAATCTTTCAATTTCCTATGCCCCCCACCCTTGATCAACACCACTACAGAAATGCGCAACGCCTAACAGACGCAAATCTGTGAGTTCCACTGATCATATTGGTATCTTTTGTTATGCTGCCTAAACTTTGAGTCTTAGTATCACTGCTGCTTTCTATATAAATCCTATCTTTTTAAATTTCATAGCTTCAACATAACATTCATTGTGCGGCAACATCAAGCCACTAGTGTGTAATTACACAAAAGTCCACATTAATATTTAAAATTGTATTTACTTATTGTTAGCTTTTAACTCTAATGCATGTCATGAAGTAGGCGGTGTAGGAACTTCGTAACAGTATATTGGTCGTGATATTAATGAGAGCTTTAAGCCTGCTGACCTGGAGCAAGCTTGCTTAGTTCCGGCTCCAGACGTGATAGCGAGAGTGGAATATCTCCTCTTGCTGTGATGTTCAATCTGTTTCCACTTTTTGTTAGAGAAACCAGTCTGCTGTATCCACATGCAGAGCCATGTATGTGGATGGAAAAGAAAGGAAATACATCTCAGCTATTTCCATAGTCTGTGGAATCAGTAGATCCAAAAATCCCTATTATATAGCGTGAATTTGAATTTTGATAGTGTGTCATTCTTAAGCTCTATGAGACTTTGCAGGATTTCAGCTCCAACATCGCAGGGCTGTACGTCAAATGGATCCAAAATCTAAATCTGGATTTCCATGTCAATCTGGTCATGAAAGCGGTCTTCCATTTCTTTTCTGAGTTCTTGTAAATGACTGACATAAACAATCAATTGGGAACTGTGAAAATTCCCCACGTCCGATGTTCTGAGCATATACTTCCAGCTTTTTAGACAAGCGATAATTGGATGTTTGCTTGAGATGAGGTTACTCAACTTGCCTTGAAAGGCTTTTTTCAATAAGTGGTTTCTCGAAATCGTCAGCCAGAAAAAACACACCCGGCTTAACTGTACACTGTTTTCTTTCCTAAAATGTTCCGGAAAGAATGTCATGACGGTGTCCCAGCGCGAAAGAAAACGGCGAACACAGTTGCCCTTTGAGTGCCATCTAACTTCTGTATGCAAAAATAGAACCCGGAAATCTGCACTGTGATTCTCACACAACTGCTGGAAAAGACGATCATGAAAAGGGTGCGGCTTAATATTGTTAACCACTATTATAAATGTTGATATTGGATTGTTTAAGTGCCCTTCCCACGTTTTTAGCCACTAGGCGCTCTCAGTGAATCACACAGTGAATTGTATGAGCAGAAGAGAGAACACTTTTTAGATGGGCAAAGGATCCTCTATATCTTCCGATCATTGCGGTAGCACCATCTGTTGCACCTGCAACTCTTTTTTGCATTGTGATGCAGTTTGCAGGCACATAGCCATTTACTACCATGAATATAGATTGGCTCTTTGTATAAGTTTATATATCTTGGCAAACAGCATCTCAAATATTAAGATATTTTTATCGAAGAATCGAATATATGCCGCGAGAAGAGCCTCGTCATCAGATAAATTAGATTAATCTACTATTTACGAAAATTTTCTGGACTGTATTAAGGTAACTAAGATACATTTTAGGTCCTGAGCCATTTCATCTATTCGCCTAAATACAGTTGTGCTGCTGAGCAGAATGGCTTAAACTGCTTCTTGTGGACACATACATATCAGTACTTTTGCTACTGAAGGCAAGCTAATATTTTCCACAACATTACGTGAAGTGTAATTTTTGCCGCATAATTTGCTGATTCTATAAGACGCCGTAAGTCTATTCGCTAATCTTGTTCTGGCAGAAATTAATGTCTTTAAAGTTGGCATACTTTCGGAGCTATCCTGCAACTTTCTAAAAAAAATCCACAGTCTTTCCGCTTTCGCCCTTATCAATAACTTCCAAATTATTTTCCACTTAACGTGGTCGCATACTTTCAGTTGAAAGAATGCTTTGGCAAATTAAACACATAGGTAGCTTGAGGTTTTGAAGTGATGCGATGAATCCAAATGACAGGTATTCTACGGATTATTGCCAAAACTTGTTCGTTGCTGAGGAAATTATTTCTGGAATATGTCATTGTGAATTGTTAATATGTAATATACGTATACTAATTTTGTTTTATTATTCTTACAGTTATATCATGTGCATTAAATAACATCATTCGACTAGGCGAAACACGCAGTTAGTATTAATAATTGGTGGCACTAAATTTCTTCTTACTAGAACGTGAGATTATAAGAAAAGACGTTTGGCAAGCATATTTGAAACTTCTTTTAGTGGCTACAATGTTAAAATGCTTAACCGTAGAAAGACTGTTAGAGGACACACAAAGACAGTTTCAAGGGCGGGTTTGAAAATAGCGTGGATGGCCAAACTGACGGAAGAAGAATTCTTGACCAGAGCTAATGAGGAAAACAAATGGAAAGCAGAAAATGGTAATACTCACTAGACACACCTACATTACAGGAAACATAGAAAACAGTAGTAACATGTAAGAAGAAAATGCCGGCTATTTCAAGTAACCAGCATGCGAGCGTCAACAACGAAGTGATTAACTTACATCAGCTATTGCCAAACATGACGCCGAAATGCGCGCTAGCAAGGCATTTTATGATTATGAATATAAGGAGAAGCATCCTTATGTACATATTATGTTATTAATACTTATCAATGCAACCGGATATCCTCCAGTAAGATAGTACCCCAGGTGCGCAGAGTAGCCACTTGAATTCGGAAACTTGCCGGTTAAAGTGACAGCCGCCAGAAGTACACGCGAGCGGAGATGGTAGTGTCCCATCATTTTAAATGTCAGTTAAATATGTTTTCACATCAATACTTTTATAATACCCTTTCCTTAGAATCATTAGAAATACATACCGGTGGAACACTGCCAGCTGAGACTGGAGACCAAAAACGCAGAACCTAACCCTATCGCATTAAGACCCGAACAAGGAAGACTGACTGGCACATGAGTTGTCATACAGTGCTAGTGCCCGGAGAAAAACTCAATTAGTGTCAGTGTGAGTTTGTGCGGTAACCGCCGCAGTGTACTGACCAGAGTTCGCTGCAGGTTTATCGCAGCTGGTACAGTGTTCTGAGAAAAGCTCAGTTGGTTCAATGTGGATAGGCTTCAAAGTGCCGAGGACGGATCGGGTGTTACTTGCGCAGTCTAACTAACCGTGTGGTGATTGTATTTTTGAGGTGAACCCTGCGAAATCTGCGCAAGTTTGTCGGAGCTATGCCAGCTCCGCAACAGAAAGTCTGCCCGATCTGGCTCACACGGCTTCGTAAAAAGCACTTGCGAGTGCGTAATTCATTTCACTGACTTATAGTTACCAGTAGACATTATTGAGCGGAGAGAAACTATTAACATATTTTTAAATGAATTTTAGTATTTGTGTTATCACAACCCGGTTTTCATAGCATGGCTCCTATGATCCTCCCATGTCCCCCATAAAAATTTTCTTATCCCGGTGCCCCTCGGGGGGTCATGTGGCCTCCGTTGAGAATGGCTGCAATAAACAAAGAGCCATCGAAAACCATGGAATGAATGTGCATACTAAGTATAAAGATCCAAAAACGGATGACATACAAATAACAGTTCTTTGCTTTCACATCCTGTTTTGTTCCTTTTTGCAAGTTTAGTAATTACCGTGTTGCTCAGCAGAATCAGTGCAAAGACTCTCGCAAATCTTCCTTTGTCCTCGATGATGTGCCGTTTTCAAGAGTCTTCGACCATCGATGTCCTCCATCTTTGACTTCCTAGCCCGGAAGACGTACAGGATCGACAGCAGCTAGATCGGAAACCAGGGCCTTGCTTTGTCTTCATGCGCTAGGTTTGCCACCGCGTGATTTCTACCAGTGCGGTAATGCGCGAGTGAAGAGAGCGCACCGTGGTAAACGCTCGCACAGTATGCGTAGGACGTGACCTAGCCATCTCAGTTGGCCCAG